GTGCTGGGATATCGCTCTCGATACTAATCTGTTTTCGACATTTTCAATTGTTATACAATCAAATTGCTACGATTATTTCTTTTTAAAGCGACTCTTTGAAGCTTATTGGAGAATTTGCATTAACAGATAATTGTTTTAATAATGTTTACTTTAGAATGTGCATTAGAACACATTCTCTTTGATGTAAATACGTAACTTCTGTTCTATTATAGCTAATAATACAATGATGACAACTACGGATTTAATTGAACGCTTTGAAAGCCAATAAATTGTTGTTGAATTATTCTGACGACAATTTATAAGACAGCATGTAACAAGAGATTTCACGTAGTGCAACATGTAATCATGCACGTACAAAGAAGAAAGATTAATTAGACGAAAAATAAACGATATACGAAAAGAAATTCTTCGCAATATTCTCAACAAATTAATAAAAAACAAAATTTAAAAATTTACCAGCTATTTATATCTTTTCTCTTTACTTTTCCACGTTAATAAAGCCAACTAATAGATTTAACCGAACGCTTTGAAAGCCAATAAATCGTTGTTGGGTTACTCTGACAGCACTTTATAAGACGCCCTATAACGATAGATTTCATCATGTTCGCAGTACGCGACATGCAGTCACATGCATATAAAAAAAGAGACTAATTAGATGAAAAATAAACGATATAAAAAACAGAAATTCTTCTTCACATTCTCAACAAACTGATAACATATAACAAACAAAACTTGAAAATTTATTAACTATATATATATATAGTTATTAATAATTATATATATATAGTTAATAAAGTTAGTTAATAAATAAATAGTTATATATATTTTTTTTCTCTTCAGTTCTACGTTGATATTCCGATAATTTATTTTTTGCTACTTCTTTGTTTTCCTTTTTATATTTTCTTTAAAGTAAAGCGTGATGATCGCATGTTGAGCATACAGATTGCAAACCGCTTTGGGCGCACTTTCGCTAGCGAACGCGATCGACTTCTCATTCTTCGCTGCGCTTCTAACTACCCTCGGTGTAACGATACACGACGAAACGTATCGTGTTACGAGCGATCGTTAACGGCATAAAGAGTTTATATTTGAGAATGGCACTTACTCACTGAGCGCAAGCAGAGGAAGAATAATAATCAATACAAGCAAGCGGTATAACACGTTATTGAAGATGCAGAGGGAAAACTTTAACGGAAATGCCGAATATGGGCTAACTCAGACGTGAGCCTATTGTATATTAAAAATATACAATACACAAATCTAATAAAATAAGTATCAATAAACTTTCCAAAGTGCCTCTTTCAAATTATAAATAAATTAATATCGTACGCATAAAGTTACACGCAAGATTATATTCTTTGATAAATTCAAAACTCTTCTTCCTTAGAAAATTTCACAGAAAAAAGAATTTTAATTATTACAATATTTTAACTTTAGAAAATAAAGTTGATAGTTTTAAAATCTATAGAGTAAGCGAATAAAAAGTTTATTTTTTAATTAATTTCAAATAACTTTTATCTTGACAGGATTTTACTTTGCAACTTTATTTTCCATCAAGCATCAAGATATATGTATGTATAACATCTAAGAAATTGAAAGACAGACATGTATAAATGCGGATTTCTTTAAAAATATTTTTTTTCCCGCTTTAATTTATATTAAAA